ACCCGGTGACTGCTCTCCTTCAGTACACTGCTACAGAGCTTCTGCGACTCCGCTTCCACCTGGCTGTCCCTTCACCTGTGGCGCTTCACCTCCATCCGGACATTGCTTTTAATCCCCGCCGAAAGTACATCCACCGAGGGTCCCGGCAAAACTTCAATACCAATGACACTGACTCCGTAGAATCCTTCTGGTCCAGAACTCGTCGTCCTCCCCGTAATTCTGACAGGACTGTCAACCGCAGTGTGTTAGCCCACCTGGCTAGGTCGGCTAACACTATCGTCAAGCATCGCATTTCCAACATAAACTTCGGTCTTTTAAACGTCCGCTCTCTCACTGGAAAGGGACATCTTATCCAGGATCTCCTTCTCGACCGTAAGTTGGACTTTCTTTGCTTGACTGAAACATGGCAACAGCCCAACGACTTTGTTTCTCTCAACGAGTCGACCCCACCTGAGTTTGTTTACATCTGTCACCCCCGCAACTCGGGGAGGGGCGGTGGTCTCGCGATAATTCATCGGAAGCACTGGAAAGTTCTCCCTGTCTCTGCCCCCCTCTTCCACTCATTTGAATACACTGCATCTCAGCTCCCTGGATGTACTCCTACTATTTTATGTACTGTTTATCGACCACCGAAGCCAAATAAGGATTTTTTGTATGACTTTGCTGCTCTTCTCACTCATCTTTCTGTTCTCTCTCCCAGTATTATTGTTGGTGATTTTAATATTCACATGGACAATGACAATGACCTTCTCACCAGAGATTTGACTTCCTGTCTAGATAGTTTTGGACTCCAGCAATACATCAAATTCCCTACTCATTCTAAAGGTCATATTCTGGATTTGGTTTGTTGTTCTGGTGTCACCCCTACTCACTGCAAAGCCAATCTGTTTCCCACTTCTGATCATATGCTTATTTCTTTTGAAAACTTGTACTCCTCGTGACATTACATTTAGGAAAATTAATGATATTGATCCTGACATTTTCTCATCTACTATATATGACCTTCCTTCTATTCACTGCTCTTCAACCCCTGATGAACTCACTTCCTACTATAATGTCAACCTCCAAAACCTTCTTAACACATTTGTTCCACTCAAACACAGATCTGTTTCATTTTCTCGCTCAGCACCATGGTTTACGTTCAACCTGCATCTTCTCAAAGCCAAGGGACGCCAACTGGAACGCCTGTTCAAAAAAACTGGACTCACTATACACAAAGAAATGTATAACAATCATATTTTGTTTTATAAGGACTGCATTGTCTCAGCTAAATCTGCATACTACTCTGGTTTAATCAGTTCTAACGAAGGTAACTCCAAGTCTCTGTTTTCACTGTTTGCCAAAATTACTAAGCCTCCAGACTCATTTCCCTCCCACATGTACTCTGCTGACTTTTACAACTCTCTCATGTCCTTGTCCTTTTTCACTGACAAAATTTCCAATATCCACCAACAACTTAACCCTGTAAGAGCTCCTAACACTGAAGCTGACCCCCTGTTTTCCCCGCTGCCCTCCTGTCATTTACTCTCAAGTTTCACTCTTCCTTCCATATCTGACGTAACAAATATTATTCATAAATCAAAATCATCCACCTGCTTGATTGACCCTCTTCCCACAGTGTTAGTTAAAGCTTGTCTCCCCACATTGGTTCCTCTCATAACCACTATCATTCACTCTTCCCTTAATACTGGAATTGTTCCTTCTTCTCTGAAAACAGCTTCTGTCACTCCAATTCTAAAAAAGCCTGGTTCAGATCCTAATAATTTTGATAACCTTCGACCAATATCTAATCTTCCTTTTATTTCTAAAATCCTTGAGAAAGTTGTTGCCTCTCAGCTCCACTCACACCTCAATAAACATAATTTTTACAAACAATTCCAGTCTGGTTTCCGCCCCCACCATAGTACTGAAACAGCTTTATTAAGAATCACCAATGACCTTTTGATGGCAGCTGATTCTGGTCTCCTCAACATACTCATCCTCCTTGATCTCAGTGCGGCATTTGACACTATTTCTCATAATATCCTCCTGAACAGACTAGCATCCATTGGCATCAGTCATACTCCACTTGCTTGGTTTAATTCATATCTTTCAGGCCGCACACAGTTTATTCAATTTAAAACCCATTCCTCAAGTTTGTTTCCCATTGCTGCAGGTGTGCCCCAGGGTTCTGTATTAGGGCCCCTTTTATTTATTATTTATATGCTCCCTCTTGGTCACATATTCCGGAAACATAATGTCAATTTTCACTGTTACGCAGATGACACCCAGCTCTACATTTCCTCAAAACCCAATTCATCTCTTCCACCTTCCTCCCTATCGGACTGTCTTGTGGAAATTAGATCAGGGTTTTCCTCAAATTTTCTTAAACTCAACAGTAAGAAAACAGAAGTTTTACTTGTTGGCACAGTCTCCACTTTAACCAAATCGCAGAGTTTTTCCATCAATATTGACAACTCCCATGCTCTTCCTTCCCCTCAGGTAAAGAGTCTGGGTGTCATACTTGATAATACGCTTTCATTTCAATCTCATATTAACTCTATCACCCGGTCTGCATACTTTCATTTACGTAACATCAACCGACTTCGTCCTTTTCTTACTCCTCACGCTGCTGCTATCCTTGTCCATAGCCTTATCACCTCCAGGATTGATTATTGCAACTCTCTTCTTTTTGGTCTCCCGAATAAGACTCTCCATAAACTCAAACTCCTCCAGAACTCTGCAGCTCGGGTCATAACTTGTACCCCGTTCAGAGAACACATCACCCCGGTTCTGCAGCAGCTTCACTGGTTGCCCATAGAAGCTAGAATAAATGTTAAAATCTTAACTCTCACGTTCAAGTGCATCCATAACCTTGCCCCTCCTTACCTGTGTGATCTGCTTCACATCTCCACTGCTTCCCGTTCCCTCAGATCCTCATCTGCCACTCATTTTATTGTTCCTTCTGCCCGTCTCGTCACCATGGGGAACAGAGCCTTCAGTCGCTGTGCTCCTCAGCTCTGGAACTCCCTCCCTCCTGTCATCAGGAACACAGACTCTCTTCCCTCTTTTAAATCACAACTGAAAACACACCTGTTTAAACAGGCATATTCTCTTTAACTTTGTTTTAACTTTGTTTTAACTGTTGTTTTATTGTGACTTATTTTTAATTATTTGTTGATTGTTTTTATTAATTGCTGATTTTAATTGTTTTTGTAAGGTGACCTTGGGTTTTTGAAAGGCGCCCTGAAATAAAATGTATTATTATTATTATTATTATTATTAATTATGCATGAACTAGTCCTTCACCAGGTATAACACTGTTT